TAATTAAAGCCTTTTATTGTCTTTAAAATGAAATAAAGACAGCTTTTATTTGTTCTGTTGAGTCTTGTGATTCCCACCGTAGCAGTTTGGAGCCAAATTTGCACCTGCAGCGGTTCAGAATCCCTGCAACACACCATAAAGCAGTTAAATTAATGTTAAACAATCAGACATAAATAATGTTTTACTGTAATGGGTACCATTGAGGCGACGCACCATAAAGACTGAGTCCTTCCTTTTCACCTGAATGCAGCTTGTACACTGATGGGTGAAGCTCTGATTTGAAGATCTGCAGTACACTGAAGCAAATACAAAGTGCACAGCTCCACTCAGCACATACAGTATACTAAACAGCTGCACAGTAGGTTTGAGGTATGGAACAACAAACAATGAATGGAATATTTAGTAAATCAGCTTTCAGGGACATACTGTATATTTAATAAAGAACCTCTTTGTAATAGAGAGCACTCTTACCTGTAGGTGTCTCGGTCAATGCAAACAACACCTTTACTATATTTGGAAGAAACAATGCACATTTTAGTATTATTTTTCATTAATAAAAACTTCTGCATCACACAAGACCAATTTGGTCTAACTGTAGAGAGTATAGAGAAAACGTAATGTAAATGTAATATAAAACGCAATGGCACAAATGCATGCCACCAATAAACAAAACCTGTGAGGCTTAAAGGAGAGCAGTGAAAAACACTTCTCATTGACAAAACTTATAAAGGTCCTCGTTACAGATAATGTGTGACCACAGTCCCGTGTGTGTGTGTATGCGTGCAAAGCTACACTATTATGTGTCTTACAGCGTGTAGGCGTTGAACTGCAGGATAGGAACTCCAACACTGCTGTCTTCCAGCTCCACTCCCACTCTCCTCCTGTCCAGACATTTCAACAGAGCGCCCACTGCCCTCAGCTACACAACGGATGGATGGACACGGACGGACACACACACACACACACACACACACACACACACACACACACACACACACACACACACACACACACACACACACACACACACACACACACAACACACACACACACACACACACACACACACACACACACACAGTTCGTGATCAGCTCCTTCACATCGATGGACAAAATGAATAGGATGACATGTAGAAAGCTGACTCACCATCAGGGGAGAGTCAAAGGAGATACAAGAGGAGAGGTAAGACATTTTGTCTCTCTCTGAAGTGGAGGCAGGAAGGAAAGGCAGATGGGCAGAAAGAAGTCTCTGCTTTCCCACCTCCAGACCTGCAACATTCAATATGGACTCATAATCTGTTCATTGTGGAAATCATGAATAAAGAAGATCCTGCCTAAGATTGCTAAAAAATATTATAGGTGGGAGACTGTTTACCAAAATCAACATATGGATAAGTAACCACCTCGGGTTTGTAGTCCAGGTTTGAACCTGGGATACAACAGGAGACAGTTTGAAAAATAAAACAGCATGTTTTATGAAATAAATGTTACAAAGCAGTGGTTTCACATGACAATATTGTTTCACTGAAGTCTCAGTAAAAGCATTTCAGAGCTATGTATACTAGTTATACAATCACTCTTCTCCCTTATCACACTATCTTTCTGCAGTGTCGAGCATCCTTAATCTAATTGTATTCCCCTTGACCTAGAAACTTCTAGTCTCGCACCATGTCAAAAAAATTCTGACAGACATTTTTCTCATTTGCCCGCCCTATACTGAGATGTTTGTCTCTCAGAACTCACCAAGTTGTTGCAAGAACCGTGTCATGCAGCGCTCCTGCTTTGCACTGGTAATTATTACATGAGGACTAACCTCCTGGATGACTAAACAGGGAAAAAAGGAGATACAATAAGTATAGTAAGGCAAGCACAAGTGTCAGATCACACATAATTGTCATCTCTGAGCTAATGAAATTACATAGAAAATAGAAATGTAATCTTATATAGGGTAGAGACTGATATTATGTAACAGGCAGTGTTTTGTTTACCTCTGGCCAGCAGGTGGAGCTCATGGTTGTCGGGACTGTCTCTCATGTAGTTTAAAGTGGAGTCCTTACTGTCAAAGAAGCAGAGGCCAATCTGTCCATGCTGGGCTACAACACTCAGTAAAATCTGGAAAATAACAAATACATGAATTTGCATCTGCTGCCAAAATCGATCTATCCTTCCAAGTATTTATTAAAAACACATAAATGTACAAAAAAACATAAATGTATACAAAAACATAAACTGTATTAAAATAATAAATAATATAAAAATAAATAGAATTAAGATACAGTAACTTCAGTATATGAAATTATTTAATAAAAAAAATGTTGTTCTTCTTTAAAGAGTTCACTGTAACAATTTACTGGCATTTTCTTAGTGTTGTAAGTTGGCGAGTCTTAACATATTCCTTGTATTCATATAAAACACTGAGTGAAACTTGGGGTAACTTGTTGTTGCATTAAAATGTATTAGAGTGACTTCTGAACTTACCGCAGGTGAGTCTTCCTCCTCTTCTTCAACCATATGTATGCCCGGTTGACCAAAAATGAACCCTGCCATGATCAGTCAGTTCTAGATATGAAATATCAAAGCAAGGTAATAATTTCATGTTTTTAATAAGTTGACTTTCTAACAGTGGGCCCGAAGTACTTAATTGTGTTACTTTAGTGATATACTACTGCATAACAGTAAGTGGTTACAATTGATAGTCTTTAACTGAAAATGTGCTTACGTAAGAGCACAAAAGTATAAGAATACATTTATACTTAGTCATTTGTACAGATTGGCCCATTTCAAAGTACGTAATATATTATTGAATTATAATTATTAACACTTGAATCTTTCCAGTGCTCTAATGATGCAGCTGGTTTTATAGGTGGAGCTCATTTAGAGTAAAGCATATACATTTTACATATTAATTTACTTACTGCTGTGAATGTTCCCCTTTGTGCCAGTAAAGCCTAATTGATGCAATAATATATTTAGTATTAATAATAACAATAATAATATATTGTATTTTTGAAAAGTAACTGCAAGGTAACTAGTAACAAAAGCATCGAGTAAATGAAGTGATAGGCACAATATGTCCCTGAGTTGTGGTGGAGTAAAAAGTAGCAGTACATGTGAATAACGTTCCTAAAGTACAAGTACCAACTATGTTTACTTCATTAAAGTACATTAAAGTACCACTAAACCAACACAATGTTTAAATGTAATGCGCGAAAAACTAAAACATTAGCTAGTTAGAAAGCTAGCATCCAGGTTAATTGTTTAGCAAACAAAGTGGAGTTAGCTAGGCGAGCTACTTAACTAACTAAAGTGAACTACCATAAAAGCAGAATCTGTATCAGTTAGCTAACATTTACTTACAGGTCGGGTTATGACTTTTCATAGTAAAGATAACAGGCTATAGGTATCGACTTATAATTAAACAGTTGAAAAGTACTTTGTGTGGTGATTGTTTGTTAGATTGGTAGCTAGCTTAACTCAGTTTACCTTCATGTACGCACTTTGGCACGCACGCTTTTTTTGTGCGCGTGTGTTCCCCTGGCCTGTTGTCATGACAACATTGCCTCCGTATCACTGATTTAAATGTATTGAGAATAACTGTTTGATGTTTTGTTATTTTCTATTAAACAATATGTGACCATTTATTTTGAATTGGGTTAGAAAAAAAGGCTATGAAGATATTTGTATGTTTTTATTTTAATTTGGGACATTTTATATTTTAGAAGTAGGCTATATACTTTAGTGATACCTTTACTTAACATTTACCATTACTGAGTTAAACAACTAACTTTCTTAAACCTAGCTGTTGATAAAAGAAAAGAAAATATATATCATTGGTTTAAATGTTTGTGAGTCGCTTTGGATAAAAGCATCAGCTAAATTAAATGTAATGTAATGTTATAAATAAAAAGTACATGTATATGTATGGGCAACGTAGCAGCTGAGCTGAGCAGGCTTTTGTATATTAATTCAGAGATTTAAGATTTTCATGGTTTTGTTTGAAAGTTAAAGGTCCCATGACATGGCCATTTCCAGTGTTTATGTGAAATTGTAAACTTACAATGGTGTTTGTTAGCAACCATAAAATGACACCAGTAATGACAAACAGATGAGAATGCTGCGTGGGGTCTAGGTGCCATGTTGCCGGGCTCGCTGCTCCGCCCTTTGAGGCTCGAGTCGCGGACAGTGTGAGCTGGATTACTGGTGGCGTTTCCTGGTTGCTGCGTGGGGTCTGCGAGACAGCGAGGCACCGCGGAACTCAGCCTGAGCACACACACTCACAGCCTGCGGAGATCCGCGGAGCTGCGTCTGAGAAAAGATAAGGCTGAGTGAGTGCATGTGTGACGTCACTATGACCGTTACGTCACTGTACCCAGGAAGAAAACAATGGAAAAAGATAAATCTCCAACGAGGCGTTCTGGGGCAGCATAGACACGTATTTTCTGTGTTAGAGTTGTACTCGCTACAGGGTGTACTTTGAGGGTTTGTGACTTTGCAGACCGTTTACATGCAGAAAAAGCTACATAAAACACAAGGGGACGGGTAATAACCGGAAAAGCATGTCATGGGACCTTTAACAGTGAATAAAATAATAAACTATCATCTATTAGTGTGTTTGATGTATCTCAAATGTACTGGTGTCGATACAATTGTATTATCAGTACCATTTTCTATCATCTCTTCCACCTGTATGATCCACCAGGCAGGTTTTCAGTCAGTGAAAGCAGAATTATATTCATGATTAATGCAGGGGAAGGTTTTCGGTCGTTTTGTTGGGCCCTCATTACTGCAGTTTCTTCATAATAACAATGAAGATTTCTTCTTATTACTGAAAGTGATTTATTTTTTCTAAAAGAGGGAAAATTCCGTACCACAAAACAACACAAAATGGAAAAGGATTGAAACTGTAAAAAAGCAATTATGACAATGACAATGTCAAATTTATTTTTATATGAAAAAGTAATATCTGCAAGAAAATCCTCACAATATATTACATTTTAATAAATAAAATAAATAATAAATACGTTTGTCTGGCTGTAATACGAGTGTGCACTTTACAATACAATACATATTTGGAACATTAAAGTGACTGACTAAATGTTTCATATTGTTTGTGTTTGTTCATGTACAAGTATACATTATTGATTAGAAAGCAGGTAGTGCTGGAGACGAGGCGGTAGAGGAAGTTTGTCCATTTCATTCTGCCTCTTTTGCCCTAAATACTGACGAATTGACAGTCCACATAAAGCCATCAGAGCAGGGGGATCACCTGGGAAAGAGAGAGCAAAGAAAAGTAGTTTAGGTGTTTTGTTTAAAGTTCTAACTAAAGCAGATCTTCGTAAATTGAAACTTGTCTGAACTGTTTACATAAGAATGCATCAACATAACTTCTGCTACTTATCCTATGTGCAAAACTTCAAAGTCCTCCTCATTACTTACAAAGCCCTCAACAATCAGGCCCCCCCCTACCTCACAGACCTGCTGCACCACCACGCCCCTTCCCGCTGCCTCCGCTCATCAGAAGCCAACCTCCTATCCATCCCCACCCGCACCAATCACCGGACCTGGGGGGACAGAGCCTTCTCCGTCGCTGCCCCCTCCCTCTGGAACTCACTCCCCCAACCCATCAGAGACTGCACTGACCTCACCACCTTCAAAAAACTCACAAAAACTCACCTCTTCAATCTGGCTTTTAATGTGTGATTGTTTTTGTATTATTTGACTTTAACTTTAACTATATATTTATTTGTTGTTCCTTCCTTTTCTTTTCCCTTCACTATATCTGTAAAGCGTCTTTGAGCACCTGTAAAAGCGCTAACAAATTAAATCTATTATTATTATTATTATTATTAATACTGTTGTATTCCATCATCTTCACTCACACACACACACACACACACACACGCACACACACACACACACACACACACACACACACACACACACACACACACACACACACACACACACACACACATCCTTTTCCTTATCCTTATTTTTATGCTACAATGTTGGATAGATGTTGTCACTTATCACTTTTACACACATTCCCCTTTTTCATGTATGTTGTGTCATCCCATTTGATCCTACATCTTATTGTCATAAAACATTTTCTGACTAGTGGCTAATAGAGTTAAGCTGAAAACTGCGCTACTCACGTGTGGCACCGTTCAGGTATCGTAGTCGTATGCTGGCTCCACCTCTCACGCTGCTCACGGCTGGAAACAGCTCCACTCCACGAGGAAGGTCTTTGAAAGCTTCGCCGAGGAAGCTGCCATCAACAACAAATCCCAGAGTCCCTGCATCGGCGTCAAGCACCAGCAGGACACGCTCAGGGATAGGTAGAAGAGTCTGTGCCATCTTTTTGTGTGACGAAGTGGAAGACATTGTCCTAACATCCTCCACGGCCTCAGGGTGGAACCGCCTCCTCTTCCCTGGGTAGAGGTCCAGACTCTGTCCAGCATGCCAGAGCTGATTGGTTTTGAGTTCCCAGCCCCAGGACTGTGGATCCCGGCCAATCAGCACGTCGTACCCCGGGGCCCTCAGAGGGCAGCTCTGCCTGGAGATGCCGATGACAGCATGACTCCCTCTCTGGTTGGGACTCCACAGCACTTCCCAGACATGAAGCCCACTCTTCACCCCCATCTCCGCCCTCACCCCGTCAGTACTCAGCTCAACAGGTGAACGTGTCACTTCCTGTTTGCAGCCAGACAGCAGGAAGGAAGGAGAGCAGTGGGTTGAGCTCCAGCGTGAGCGGCTGTCTCCTGGAGCAATTGGAGAGGAGTTCAGAGTGACGGCGAGGCGAGAGGATATGGAGACAGCCAGCGGAGGGAAAGCTGATGAAGAGGAGGGAGGGCTGTCGTCTGCCCTGCTGTACAGCCACACTGACGGTGAGACACCCATCGGTACAAACAGCCTCAGAGAAGAGCTGTGGAGGAGACAGACAGAAACAAAATGTAGTTTAAACACTGGAAACAATTATTTACTTTGTTCAGTTAACAGTTTGTTTTTGGGTAAGTGCCTAGAAAAATTAAAGCTCCATGTTCCTAAATGATAAATGTTATTCACCTTGTAGCCGTATAGTGGTGGATTATAAATAGTACACATTAACTGAGAAAATGTAAATGAGTAAATTAAGTGCTTTAGCACACATCCTAGGCCCTTGTGCTGAGCTCATGAAAAGTTTGTTCAATACTCTGTCAGACTTATACAGATTGTTTATAATTGTTTAATTGTTTTAATTGTTTATTGTTTATACTATTGTTTAATTATAACTGATGCATTGTCATTTACCACCTTAGCATTGCTGTTGGCCCAGGCTAAACTAATTCTAGATATTGTATGTTGGTCATGTAATTGACTTATTTTAAATTAAATGTGTATGAAATGTAGCATTTCCATAACAGGTAGAGCATAAATTGGCCGTTGAAATAAAATACTCCTTTATATAAATAACCTGAATGTTGTCCTGAAGAAGGCAAATGTAGCCAACGTTCAAACACTGTGGGAAGGCAAGAATGAATAAGAAAGAAAAAAGGTAGAGGAAGCAAAGTTTGTAGATTATCAACATAATATGCTAAATCGGCACACAGTTAAAGAATAATCTGATTATTTCACCTGTTAAAGCAAGTCAGCAGAGGTGGGGAGTACATTTTACAAGTACTGTGCTTAAGTACAATTTTGAGATACTTGTACTTGAGTATTTTCCATTTGATGCTACTTTGTATTCCACTACAATTCAGAGGTAAATCGTGTACTTTTACTCCAATACATTTATGTGTACTTTTAGTTACTGATTTGGATTAATGATGTGATATATAAACAACACTTAAATAAGACATTAGTTACACCTGGAGTAAACTCACAAGTTACCCTGCAGTAAATAAAGTCATTTAAATAAGATCCACCTTTACCAGCTTTGTAACACATGAATAAATAAATAATTATAATCAAAACATATAATATATATTATTTTGAAATGTATGATTTGCATAAAAAGTAGCCTACCTTTACTTTTGGTACTTTAAGTATATTTTGATCCTAATATTTTTGTTATTTTACCTGAGTAACATTTTGAATGCAGGATTTACTTGCAAGTACTTTTCCCACGTCTATAAGTCTTAAAATCTTACCAGTTGTGTTTCTGAGTGCTTCCCTCTGGTAGGTAGCGCAGGCTGTGTGCAGACATCCTCTGCCTGTGTGTGTTTATACCAGTCTCTTATCAAGCATGTATGCGTCTTATCGCAGCTCGGTAACGTAACCGCTCCGGTGTTTCGGTGATGTTTTCTGGGACGACCTCCGAGCAGGGAACAGCACAGTCCATCACTGCATACTGACGCCACTGCAGCCTCAGGGACAAGACATCCCATGACGTGGTGTGAACTGAAAGGAAACCGGAGATATAGCATGATAGCCTACGTAGGCTACAGTTTATGTAACAATGTAGATCACGAGCTATCATAATGTTATGTCAAATGGTACCCTCTTTTTCCATATGTTTCTTTTATCGCGTTCTGTAATGAATGTAAACATAAACGGCGAAACACAAGAATAGGATTAAACTCGGGCTTTTAAATAATAAGAAGATGAAAATAAAATAGATCCCAAATCGACTCATTATTCCTCTGAGCGCATGCGCATAAAGAGTGAATTGGGATGTGGAGATTTTAAGCCCAGAATGTTGTTTTACAGACAACAGGCTTGTTAGTCGTACAAAATATGCAGAATAAGTATTCAGATCGTGTAAAAGTAGAAATACCAGAGTGTAGGAATACTCTGTTAGAAATAAAAGTCCTGCATTCGAAATGTAATTCAAGTAACAGTACAAAAGTATTAGCATTCAAATATTATAATATAATAATAATAATAATACATGGGATTTGTATAACGCTTTTCCTAATGCTCACAGACGCTTATACACTTACACTTAAAGTACTAAAAGTACTCATTATGCAAATTGGCCCATTTCATAATATATTATATATTTTGATTTTAGTTATTGATGCATTAATGTGTTATCAAAGCTGGTAAAGGTGCAGCTAACTTTAATTACTTTGTATACTGCAGGTGTCACTAAAGTAGCCTAATATTTAAGTGATGATCACAATTCTGCAAAATAAGTACCAAATATATTTAATAAATGTAGTAGACTTAAAGTATATTACATGTCACTTGTTAGACGCTTTTATCCAAATTGACTTACATACTCAATACTGTGGGCAATCCCCACAGGAGCAATTTGGGGTGAAGTGTCTTGCCCAGGGACACAACAACATACGCAGTGGGGTTTGAACCTGTGACCTCCTGATCCGAATACCAACTCACAACCCACTGCACCACACGCCTCCCGCCATATGATTTAACTCTGAATTGTAGTTGGGTAGAAATACAGCATCAATTTGAACTCAAGTAATATACAAGTCTTTCAGAATTGTACTTAAGTACTGTGAGTACATCCACTTACTAATTACTTTGCACTGCTGGAGATCATAGATAGAAACAGAGCTTGATATTTTTCACATGTTTTTGTGTTTACATCTATGGCTTTAATGCCAGTTTGTTCTGCAAAATGTTGTATTTTGAGCTTCAGGGCCAACTTAATACTCAATATCAGATGTTGGTATTTTGTCCACCGTGGAGGCATGTCTGGAAAAGTTTGTCTTCAAGAATTAATAAAGTACACATGTTCTCTTTTGGTTAAAGATTTATTTAGTTTTGAAAGCAAAACACAGGAAATATGATTTATAGAGCATACAGAGACAATATATGACTGATTGTATATCATCCAGTACAAAAAGGTTATCAGATCAGATTGTAGCCTGGCCCATTAACATGCCTTGGCTTACAAAACAACATTTGTAAAAGCCAGAACTACAGTTTTGTGTATATATATTTTTATGTATAAAAGAAAATGTCATTTAATTTAATTCATAATGCAAAATAAAAAATGCACTGTCTTTTCACATTCTTTTTGCTCATCACCTGAACTACTTATTTCAGGGTTTATTCAAACCTTTTAATTCTAAAAGGAGCCCACATAAATGTGAACTGTAAAAGTATAGATTTGAAAACATTTCCTCCAAGTTCAATACAAGGTTGCTTTAAATAGAATTAGTTGGCACCAACTCTCGTCCTAGAATAAGAAACAAAAACAAAAACAAAGTCACACATACTTGTAGTTGAGTTTGAGTCCCACTAATGTTGTTTTAAGCAAAGCCTTAGAGGCTCATGTCAAAACTTAAAATGCTACTTTAACTGATCTTTAAGAAAGAAATCACTGGTCGTGTTGCTTTTTGTTATCTAAAGAATGAAACAATAGATATTTTGACAAAATTATTAACAGAGAGTTTATGACTTCAGACAACAGTGATACAATCTTTAAACAGTTTCATCAAAAGCAGACTGTCACGATTGAAAGCAGAGCAAGGTGGACCCAAAAGCAGGACGCACAAGGTTTGAACAGCAAAAAAACTTTAATTTCAGGTAATCAGGCTGAGCAGGGTAAGACACAAAAAAACAAGTTGAAAATCTCTAAATACAAAAACAGAACAAACCTCACCATTGAACAATGAACAGGATCTGACAACAACTGACAAAAAACCAGACCTTAAATACATGCAAGACTAATCCCAAGGACAGGACACAAGAGGGAAGGCAAAACAGAAAGGTAATCAAACAGGAGGGAAAACACAGGGACAAGCAGTAAAAACAAACGTAGCCTAACACGGGGTGACCAAAAAAAAAACAGACAGTTTGTGACAGACTGTATGTTTGTGTCTTGATAGTTTTGAGATAAGATGGTAGAATTTGGTAAAGTGTATGTGTCTCTCACCATAAGTTTTCTTCTTGAAGTAAATCAGCCCAGCAACAAAAAACACCAGACCCAGCAGCAGCCCCGCTGTCCCGACAGCAATCTTGTTGTTCTCTGACTCTCGATCAGTTCTCGGATCTGAAAATATATTTAGCACAAATTTCTATAACTCTAATCAATACAAATGTGGCTTGATAACATTTAACTCAAAACAAGCTGTCACTTTTCCTACCCCACTCGCAAAGCTTGGGCTTCATGAGGTGTGCGTGCTCCACCATGCAGGTGATTTTCTCTCCAGGTACAGGTGTGAACTCCAGGTAGGAGTGGATCTGATAATGCCAATCCCCATTGGACAGTTTCTCAGTGGACGTCACATCAGATGTCACCTCCTTTCCGTTCCTCAGCCAAGTCACTCGGATTGGTTTGGGAAAGAAGTAGTGCACACTGCAGACGAGCATGCCTGGGTGTTGACTGCTCGCTGCTTGCACTGACCTCACCCTGACAGAGGGCTCCAAATGGAGGTCAATAGACGAAACAAATTGGCATGAAACAACAACTCTTCAATGTTTTCACAAGTAATTCTCTGGATATATTTAGGTTAAAACAAAAATATTACAGTGGGTATATTTAGTATTTTCTATGCACACTTTTCACAGAAATATGATTAAAAGTCTGTTACTTAAACCCCATAATTACGAAATAATTATGCAATATGTAATTTAAATCATTAACAGAGTTTTAATACACACAATCACCTGGTTTTAAAAAGACATCAAAAAACAATGGGATGTGGTTCTTGCATTTCAGTTCATTTTTTTTTTCTTCTTTTATAAATTTTGGATTTTTGTTGAGGCCTTCTGCAATCTCTTTTGTTTTCTCTGTGTAGCCGGTATACTTCCCTAAAGTGCTGTTGTATTGGATTTGTAGCACTTTATTGAAGAACATTTGTTCCAAATAAACAAAGTCATCAGGGGAAGTAAACTGGCAGTGGAACACACCATGACCAAAAAGACCATCTGTAACACAAAGCCAACAAGTATTACTAAAATGTAGAATAAAGCATTGCACACTCCAATAATATGCCACAGATTTTAATGTACTGTACAGTATGTTATAGCAACTAGAAAAGTAAATGTCAGCTATTTTAATGTAACTCACCAGCTCTTGAAAAAAAAAGGATCAGAAACAGCAGTGAAAACGAGAACTTCATACCCATGTTGAGAGAAATGAAAATGTAAGAGCCGACGGGTATCAATGTAGAACTAAAACATGAGGAAGTTAGGCAGACTGCTCGACCACATTTTTTTTAAACAGGTGTGGTACAAAGGGTGTGTGGCGCATTGAATTGGCCTTTTTATGTCACACAAGTCTGTTTCAGAATAATAAACTTGAATGTAGCCTCTTCACTCTGGCACCTCTCTATAATGCATGTGCATGTGTGCACCTTTACCTGTATTGTAATGCATGTGTGTATTTGTACTGTGTGTGTATTCAAAAATATAGTAAAACAGAGTAGAAATCTGAATTTCCCCCTAGGCTGATCCATAGAGGTTCATGTTAATCTTAAATTATGTATCTGAGGGAGAATGAGCTTTAATCTGAGTTTAAACTACCTTTAAACCTTGCATATTGTTTTTGTGTCAGTGAAATGTTACCATCAGAATGTGGAGTAAACAGCAGGCAATATTTGCCTCTGAAATGTAGTACTTAAAGTTGTATCAGTTCACACAGTTTTTTAATTAATGCACCTCAAAACAACTTCATGCAGTTTATCACAATGTTTCTGTTTTATTAGAGAAAATAAATATCTTCTTCTTAAAGTTACAAACAGCAGGTAACCATACTGACAGCATGTCACATGTTTGAATAACCAACAATGTAATAAGAAGGCAAAAAGATTACAAAAAACAAAAAACAAGAATCATAAAGAAATTTAACTTATTCAGACCACAAGCTTGTTTTGAATCTGAAACAAAAACACTTGACATTCAGTGATATCATGTACACATACATCTCTCTATTTAAAGTGTGTTAGCAAACAACAACAGCTATTGGTCATACCAGACAAAGTGAGGCTTTCTCTTATTGCTCATGAATTCAGTATGAGGAAGTCTGTTGTATCACCTTTCAAAAGTGAGAAAGTCTCTCTACAAAGTTAAATATAATCTGGCATATGCACAGTGTATTAAAATGTGTAAATGACACCCACAGTTCATGAACTCTATTGCTTCTTTGTGTGTGTTGAGACATTTTACAGGAAGAAATGCTACACTCCTAGATTATCGTGTGTATGTAATGTGCAGTATGTGTAATCATAATTGTATGTGTAATCTCTCTAAAGCAGAGGAATTAGTGTCCATGGTGTCCCTTAACCATTAAAAATGTTCCGGCTGCGACTCCCAACAAGCCCAGAGTGAGGCCCACTCCACAGTAAACATCTGCTCCCAGACTGCGATGACTGATGTCAGGTTCTGTAGGGGAGCGTGACATAAAATGTATCGTTAGATACAAATAAGTATTTCATAGCAAATAATTGTATTGTTTTGATATTTAAGTGGCTTCCTCAGATATTACCATCACCCCAGATCATTGTTTGAGGCATGTCCAGGGCTGAGTGCTCCACACTGCAGCTGTAAATGTCCCCCTCCCTCGGTGTGAACGTCAGGGTAGAAAACTGGTGGAAGGTTTGATCTTTATTGGGGAAATATCGGCTGAGTGACACCCCCTCTGACACCTGAACACCATTCCTGGTCCACCTGACCCTGACCTCAGGTGGGTAGAAATTATTCACAAAGCAGATGAGGCTGTTTTCACGTCCAAACTCAACTTCTTCTGCAGGGTAGAGGAAGCTCTCAGGGGGGTCTTCAGGGGTCAAAAGATAGTTTAAAACCTTCATCAGAATCTAAACAATCATGTCACTACAGAGACAAATGTTGAGATTAATTTACCTTTTTCTTCTGGGGGATTTTTCTCCTCATTTTTTAAGTATTGAAGCAATGCTACACACAGCTTCTTGCCTTTATTAGCATTAGTGAATACATTCACATGATCAAATATTGTGCTTGGATCATCCACAAAGATTCCGGGCACAGTGTAAACTATATCAGATTTGTCAAAATCCATGTACAACATCTCCTCAGAATCAAATTCATATTGTACTTCAGATGTCCCGTTTTCAAAGCAGCCAACAACATAGATAATGTCATGAGGAACTGAAAAACAACAACAAGGGAAATAAGGACAATTACAAAAATATCGATATAGACTATATTGTAAATAAATACAGCATTTGGTTTTTGTCTGTCTTTCTTGCATTCTCTACAGAAGAGAGAAATATAATAAAAGTAATAAGTCTGAAACTCATTCTTACTTTGTGAAAAGGCACAGAAGCTGTTGATCATCAGGAGTATGAGAGCTGAGCGCTTCACGTCTTGGCTGCAGATCTTCATCATTGCGACTCTCAGTCTAAACTTCACAGACGAAGAGATTGTGTGCAAAATAAAGAAATGGAAGATTGTAATTTAATCCTTGGTTAAACATGCATCAGTGAATTCGGAAGCTATAGGAAGCACTGGTTATAGAGGTTCCTTGTTATTTTAATGTTGACGGGAAACAGCAGACTAACCTGTTTGGCAGGGAGGAGGTTCTCAAAATGTGGCATAGGTTTTGAATGACAGTGTATATAAGCAGTACAAATAGCTTGGATATAATAAAATCACATAATGCTGTGATTCACAACACCGTTGAAATCATTTGTATGGGTAACATTGTTTTGCTAATAAGGCTAGGTGGTGTACTACTTCAGTTATAGACATACTAACAATGGGTCCAAAATGTTCTATTCATATCATACGTGGCGACTGGTCATTAGGGGCAGGTGGGGCACAGCCCCACCTAGTGTCAGCAGAAAGTATTACAAATAATGATTACAACAAAATGTAAAAAAATTATTTAAATATATATAAAATATATTTTAAGATCATGTTTAATCATCTGATTCGTCTGTACATTGCTGTTTTAGTACGTGTTCTACTAATTAGTGTATACAGTGTGTGCCTATTGAGCTGTTTAGAGCCATGTGGGACAAAACCCGATCCTGCCCCTCCCTCTCCCTGTCTAAGTGAACGGTGACTGTAAAAACTACACTGCGCATGCTCAGGGTATTTTCCTATTTAATGTGTGTGGCAAAAAATAATGACCATAGGGGCATAGAGCTGCCATCCCCACCATAGTCATCTCACATAATTCAGAGCTGATTGGCTGTAAGTACGTGTGCCGCGAAAAGTGTGGTGTGTGAAGAGCAGGTGAAGAGGAGGAGAGAGACGCGTCCTAAAACCAGGAAGCAAGCTGCGCATGGCTTCCCTCCACAAAAAAGCAATGAGATTTCTCCATAGGATTTTAGAAAATAGCTCAAAATAAGATCCGTGGGAAACGTAGCTGTTAGATAAATGTACGTTTTGTTCAGCCGGATAATATCCACATGTCTACCCTACTTTTATAATTTTCGAATCATAAATCCATCATTTAGATTTATAGACTTTTGAAACTACAAGAAGATAAGGAGGACTTTTACAAAAAAGTAATAGAGATTTTGGTCCAGAAGGATAGGCAAATGGACTTCATCTTCAAGTCAAGGTAAGACCACAATTTTATTGAAAATGGAATCTTACTAAGAGAGAACAATTCAATATTTAAATGATAAAATTACATTTTTTGGGTATCCTTCTGTTGAACTGTCTGTTTAAAATTAATTGAAGCATCAGACTAAAGAGGCTTTTGAAAATAATATTATATTTTGATTTAGGTCAAAATATAATATTTGTAAAACTGAAGAGTCAGTGCCAGTGCCTCGCCAGCCATGAACCTCTCTGCAGAAGCTTATATATAGACATCTAAGTTTTTTGTGCCCCACCACTTTTGTACATATAGAAACGCCAGATACAGGGAATGTATATTCCTTCTTTGATGTTTTCCAAAAAAGAAAAGGTAGAAGAATGCAACCTGACAGTGAATTACCTAAACAGGCAAGATGATTGTATTACTATATTTCTCTGGCAGGTTTTCTTGTCACAAGAAGTTTTAGGAAATCTCCAATATTGGGCTGCAGGTGGCGCTGAAGGTGTTTAAAAGGGAGCAGGAGGGGGAGGCTGCCTGTTTTCTAGCATGTTGATAAATGCACACACTAACGATTACAGGGATTAGAGGTAAATTAAACAGGAATTCTGGATAGAGAGGCTCCGTGTTATTTTAAAACTGACATAGACTATCTTGTTTGGCAGGAGGGAGGTCCTTGGAATTTGTCAGGTTGTGATTCTCACTCTATAGAATACAAAAACAAGTAAGTATGTTGTATGTGTATATAAATACATACATTTACTGTATAAGTATTCCTGATGTTCATTTCGTCTTAAATGTTTACTCAAAAACATCTGGAAAACTACATAAGGAAAAAGGCATGACAATGCAATCTGACAAAGCATAAACATATAAAATAAATGATTGTAGTAGAAGTAAAGTAAATGGCACTCGGAGCAAAAAGAGCATCTTAAAAATGAAGCCAACAATATTTTTAAAAATGTAGAATTCTGCGTTCATTTATGTCCTTTTCTTTGTCACTTCAATAATAGGTTATGGATTCTCATTGTACGTTGTAGCAATGGTTTGGCTCTGTCTGTCTTACAATTGTTCAGTTTTTAAACACAAACTTAAAAGATAAATGACGGTTTTATATAATGTTACTTACCAGCTCTTGAATAAAACAGCAGAATAAATAACAGTGAAAGGAAGTTTATTATATTCATGGTGAAACCTGAGAAATTAGGAATTAAAATCGGGATGTAAAAGGATCTCGAATTAAAAGCACAAGGAAGTAAAGAAGAGTGATTATATTTATATGAATTAAAGTGCAACACATTTAGATGTTGTCCTTGGGGAAGGAGAAGGTTAGTTTAATATACCTTAAATACTGTTTTTGTTGGTGAAATGTAACCATAGTAAATACTAACCAAGGCTGTTAGATAAATAGTGGAGTCAACATTACAATATTTGCCTGTGAAATGTTGGACTTGAAGTTGTACTGAAGTATATATATAAAATAAATGTAACAGTTCACATCGTTTTTTACTGAAGAGACAACGATTACAGAGAACCATCATGTCTGTTTTTGACGATGGAGTAATAGGGCGGCACTCAAAAGCAACAAAAAGAGAAAAACATTTTCAAAATGTTAAATACTTAAAAGGTTTTCTGCAAAACAGCCCAAGTACATCACTTCACATACTTCCCTCTGTATTCATGGTGCTCACAAAGAGATCTCAAAAGGATTACCTGATTACATTTTTTAAAGTTGGCGTGTTATTTAAACTTCAATAATATTGTTAATGTATATCAAAGTTACAGATAACAGTGCACTCTACAGACAGTTACATGGTAATGTTTGAATAAACAATGTAATTACAAAGATGGCAATAAATGAATTATAAATAATTTAAACTCAAAGCTTCATTCAGACCATTTAACGAATAAATGGAGTCCACTTGTTGACATTCAGTAACATCATATATACATATATACCGATTTAAAGTTAGCTGTTAGCCAATGATCATACCCTTTATATTATTTGTTAATGATTTCAACATGTGTGTTTTTTACAGGAAGACTGCTGTATCGTTTTTCAACAGTAACATAGTCTCTAAAGCAGGTGTGGGGAACCTCCGGCCCCCGGGACGTATACGGCCCGAGACCATTTGGTTTGGCCCTCGAGGTAATTTATAAACACACGCAAAAAAGAAAAAAATTAAAGAAATCTAGACCGCAAAATAATGAAACAAGCGAGTGCCTGTTTTTCCTGGCAACGGTCATGGTCTTTCAACACAACACGAGCCTAACGTGTCATCACGTGGTATATGTCTCGTCTGACAGGGGTGCAGTGCTGACGGAGAGCACCAGAACGTCACTCCTGGACATCAAACAATTGCAGTACCCATAAGTCCGTAGCAGCTGGTCCGTAGGCTACACATGCTGCAGTTTTTGCGTGGCTGTGTTTTAACCAAGCGGCAAACTGTGGGGTAGAGCCGGGAAGCCAATACGGAAGTGCCACACACTGCAGTTCATATATTGGCCGATAGGCGATGGCTGCAGAAAGGAGCAATTTCCATAGACCCCCATGTTAAAATGCCCAACTTTACAGCAGAAAAAAACATGTTTCTACCCCTGGCTCCATACATTTTATTATCGATATAGTTAGATTCCACCTTCATGATTATGGATCTGTGAGTGAATTGTTTTCTAACGCGACCCTTTTATTTATATTAGGTCTTAACGTTTGTGCATAAATTAGGGCGTGGTCACATTGAGTGACGGCTCCGTCAAGTGCCTGCCGCTGTTAGCTTCTTGTCTCTCTGCTAGCTGCTCCGTGAAGCTAGCTACAGGGATTCTGCCTGCTCAGCTCATCCAGGAACCGGCCGTGGTTTATTCTTCATGCTTATATATCGGACTATTGTGACTCGCTCTGCGGTTAAAACAGACGGTGCATGAATGCGGTTTTGCGGTAAGTGAAATTCTAGTGCTTTATTTATGTGTTAATGATTTTAATCAGCTACGTAATGAATGGTAAGGCTTGGGTTAGCATGTAAGCTAGTGGTAGCTACATCGGTGCTAACGATTGTAATCGTAGCCTCCAAGTTAAAATCATAGACTGTATAAATAAAGGTTACAACGAAATAGACAAGTGTTAAGTGGGATAATACTGTTGAACAAACGGCTTCTGTTTGAGGTTGATAAAATAAGGTTACATCCTTGTAACTTAGAGATATTTTATTATGTAGGTAGAACTGTATGCATCTAAGGTTAATTTAAATTGGCTATGCTCAAGTATGTAGACAAGCTAATGTCGAAGTAGTGTATGTGAAATCAACCTCACAATAAGATGTGTGTATATTACAATTATGAATGTCATATTTCAAGATGATTACTTAGATATTACAATATGGTTGGTTGAGCTGGAGTTCATTATTGAGCTTACACGTTAACGTCACAGTCATCTGAAGAACGAACCCAAACCTTGTTGTTTTTATTAATTGCATTACCAAATGGGTATCAAATAAACAGTAAGCATTGGTAACACAACTTCCAAAGTTACAGTAAAATAAAAAGGCCCCTGACTCGGACAATACACAATCCAACATGTTCAACAGAAGAGAATCAGTTATATTGTTTGTACACATGGTACTTTACATATATATATATATCTGTTTGTTTAAGGTGTCCAGGTGATGCAGACAGGCTGGACCAGAGTGAGAGACAGAACTGGACTCCTCACAGCAGTGAACTTCAGCACAGGTACAAAGACTCTTTTTTCATACTGTACAAAGAATCAAGAAAGATATTGGTTTAAATGAATGAAGTATTGACTTGAATACACTGATATACATTCCATTAAACAATACTAAATACTAGATCACCTACACATCAGTTAAGTTGAGGGTTTTTTCCATGCAAAAAGTTACATTTAGATGATAACAAGCAATATGACTTTGTCAGCTTTCTAATTTAATGTATTGAAGGCAAAGATATTTAACACATAGTGAGAACTGCTACTATT